ACAGAAGGTTGCGGCGGTAGAAAAGTGTTTTCATGGCTTCCCATGATGGTTTTGGGGTATAAGAGTATATATAGGCGAAAGAATTAGGTCGGTGGAGTCACGAGGGGCCCACAAGGGTGGGGCGTGCCCTACCCCCTGGGCGCGCCCTCCGTCCTTATGGCCGCCTCGTGGCTTCTCTGAATTGCACACCAAGTCCTCCAGATGTCTTCTGGTCCAAGAAAAATCATCGCGAAAGTTTTACTCCGTTTGGACTCCATTTGGTATTCCTTTTCTGTGAAACTCTAAAACAAGGAAAAAACAAAAACTGGCACTAGGCTCTAGGTTAATAGGTTAGTCCCAAAAATCATATAAAATAGCATATTAATGTATATAAAACATCCAAAACAGATAATATAATAGCATGGAACAATCAAAAATTATAGATACATTGGATACGTATCAAGCATCCCCAAGCTTAATTCATGCTCGTCCTCGAGTAGGTAAATGGTAAAAACAGAATTTTTGATGTGGAATGCTACCTAACATATTTATCCATGTAATTCCTTTATTGTGGCATGAATGTTCAGATCTGTATGATTCAAAACAAAAGTTTAATATTGACATAAAACAATAATCCTTCAAGCATACTAACAAGGCAATTATGTCTTCTCAAAATAACATGGCCAAAGAAAGTTTATCCATACAAAATCATATAGTCTGGCTATGCTCCATCTTCATCACACATAATATTTAAATCATGCACAACCCCGATGTCAAGCCAATCAATTGTTTCATACTTTTGATGCTCTCAAACCTTTTTAACTTTCACGCAATACATGAGCGTGAGCCGTGGGTATAGCATTATATGTGGAATAGAGGGTGGTTGTGGAGAAGACAAAAAGAGAGAGATAGTCTCACATCAACTAGGCGTATCAACGGGCTATGTAGATGCCCATCAATAAATATCTATGTGAGTGAATAGGGATTGCCATGCAATGGATGCACTAGAGCTATAAGTTTATGAAATCTCAAAAAGAAAACTAAGTGGGTGTGTATCCAACTTGCTTGCTCATGAAGACCTACGGCAATTTGAGGAAGCCCATCGTTGGAATATACAAGCCAAGTTCTATAATGAAAAAATCCCACTAGTATATGAAAGTGATATCATAGGAGACTCTCTATCATGAAGATCATGGTGCTACTTTGAAGTACAAGTGTGGTAAAAGGATAGTAGCATTGCCCCTTCTCTATTTTTCTCTCATTTTTTTGGGCCTTCTCTTTTTTTATTTGGCCTTTCTCTTTTTTTCCTCACATGGCACAATGCTCTAATAATGAAGATCATCACACTTTTATTTACTTACAACTCAAGAATTACAACTCGATACTAGAACAAAATATGACTCTATATGAATGCCTCCGGTGATGTACCGGGATGTGCAATGACTCAAGAGCGACATGTATAAAAAAGATGAAAGCTGGCTTTGCCACAAATACAATGTCAACTATATGATCATGCAAAGCAATATGACAATGATGATGTGTGTCATAATAAATGGAATGGTGGAACGTTACATGGCAATATATCTCAGAATGGCTATGGAAATGCCATAATAGGTAGGTATGGTAGCTGTTTTGAGGAAGGTATATGGCGGGTTTATGGTACCAGCGAAAGTTGCGCGGCACAAGAGAGGCTAGCAATGGTGGAAGGGTGAGAGTGTGTATAATCCATGGACTCAACATTAGTCATAAAGAACTCACATACTTATTGCAAAAATCTTGTGGTCATCAGAACAAAGTACTACGCACATGCTCCTAAGGGGATGGATGTTGGAAATATGCCCTAGAGGCAATAATAAAATGGTTATTATTATATTTCCTTGTTCATGATAATTGTCTATTGTTCATGCTATAATTGTGTTATCCGGAAATCGTAATACATGTGTGAATACATAGACCACAACATGTTCCTAGTGAGCCTCTAGTTGACTAGCTCATTGATCAATAGATGGTTACGGTTTCCTGACCATGGACATTGGATGTCATTGATAACAGGATCACATCATCAGGAGAATGATGTGATGGACAAGACCCAATCCTAAGCATAGCACAAGATCGTGTAGTTCGTCTGCTAGAGCTTTTCTGAATGTCAAATATCATTTCCTTAGACCATGAGATTGTGCAACTCCTGGATACCGTAGAAGTGCTTTGGGTGTACCAAACGTCACAATGTAACTGGGTGACTATAAAGGTGCACTACAGGTATCTCCGAAAGTGTCTGTTGGGTTGGCATGAATCGAGACTGGGATTTGTCACTACGTAGGACGGAGAGGTATCTCTGGGCCCACTCGGTAATGCATCATCATAATGAGCTCAGTGTGACTAAGTAGTTGATCACGGGATCATGCACTACGGCACGAGTAAAGTGTCTTGCCGGTAACAAGATTGAACGAGGTATTGGGATACCGACGATCGAATCTCGGGCAAGTAACGTACCGATTGACAAAGGGAATTGTATACGGGATTGCTTGAACCCTTGACATCGTGGTTCATCCGATGAGATCATCGTGGAACATATGGGAGTCAACATGGGTATCCAGATCCCGCTGTTGGTTATTGGCCGGAGAGTTGTCTCGGTCATGTCTGCATGGTTCCTAAACCCGTAGGGTCTACACACTTAAGGTTCGATGATGTTAGGGTTATTAGGAAGACTTGTATGTGATTAATGAATGTTGTTTGGAGTCCCGGATGAGATCCCGGACGTCACGAGGAGTTCCGGAATGGTCCGGAGGTGAAGATTTATATGTAGGAAGTTGTCATACGGTCACCGAAAAGGTTCGGGGGCATATCGGTATTGTACCGGGGCAAATCCTTAGTGTTTTTTCAACAACCGAAGATCCTTATTGTTTTTTTACTTTGGCTACTTTGTTTGAATTATTACCATATTCTTTAGAAGAACTGGAACCGGTAAATAAGGGGGATGATCCCGCAAGACCTCCTAGGCCTTCTCAATAAAAAACGAGCAAGTTCATGGAAGCTACATGTGCTTTTCGCCCACACTGCATGCATAATCCTCGCCCTGCCAAAAGTTTGTCATCAAATTCCGGCAATAAGTGACAACCGCCCCTGAACTGTGGTACTCTGATGGGTTCTTCATGGCTTGTATAATTTTCATTGAGTCTCTCCATCGCAAGGAAGTGGATGTCCAATTCTTTTTTACTTCTACCTGCATGAAGCAACAACGAAGCCCCCAAATGAGTCACGAAGAATAGCCCACAGGGCCTCGTTGCCTCCATCAATATGAAACGAAGTGTCCTTGTTGAGGTTCACACTGCTGGACGCAGGTCAAGTCTAGTTATGAACTTGGCGCCGGTGCTTGATCCTTCCAGAGCAATGGAGTTTGCAACTATAGTCCTCATGCTCATCGATGAGTCTGCAAGGCGGTCCCTTTTTTTATCATGAAAATGCTTCCACACTCCCACCAGGTAAACCAACAGGAAACCATTACAAGATCCTTGTTGTTGATTAGAGCCCCTGCTTTTACCAGCTGCCTCATGACAATTATGAAGTCCATTCACACTTATCGAAAGTACCAACAGAAATAAAATGCAATGATATTTGCTTTGTTGGAAACGGCTTGGGGTTAAGATATAACCATTTCTAAATAAATAAATATGGTAATTAGGGGTTCTATTGAGATGAACAAGTTTTGCTTTTGTGGATGCATTGCTAATTAGTCAGTAGTTTGTTACTTGAGATGATCAAGTGGATTATTAATAGTTTCTAAGCGTAGCTTCGGCCTAGATTTTGTATTCGAGAAATTATTAATAATAAATTTCAAAAAATTGTATATATATCCAGACTAAGGGTGGAAAGTGGTAGCGGATAATCCGAAATATCCGATATTCGTATTCGAGAAAATGCCTATTCGTATCCGAAACATCCGCATCCGAACCAAAATGGAAATGAAAATTATCCGTATCTGAATTTATTAAACAAATAAAATATAAAATATGGTAGAAGATTTTGACACAAATATGAATATGAAAGTGGATATATCCATGTCTGAAAAAGATTATGGGAGGTAATTTTTAAAATTTTAAGGAAGCGCCCTAGTGGGGAAAAAGATATCCAAAATGGCTGGCAATTTAGTGTCATTATTCTTTGTCAAACTCAAGGTAGCAGTACTATCTTTATCAAGTTAATATGCAAAATCACTAGAGTCGGTACCCTTAACATAGGTTGTAGGGAAAGTGCGTATGTGAAATCATTATTTTACCTCCTTTTTTGTTCATACATTCATATATGGCAATGTCCCTTTTTCACGAATATGCAAAAGCCTTGCATATCATTGCATTGATAGGAGAGTGTGAAAATACAGGGTTTAGTTGTTACAGGATATATGTCGCAACAACAAAAGGCCGCCTGCAAGCATGTGCGCATGGATGGCATGAGTAAGCTGCCTCGACGCATGGATCTATGTGGAAGGCATGAGTAAGCTGCCTCGACGCATGGATCTCTGTGGAAGCGCCTCCCACGATGGACCAGGACTACGTCTCCGGGATGATGATCACGAGGTCTTTGGTGCCGGCGCATGCCCACAAGCGGGCCTCCTCCTGAATTGTTTGTATGGCGCGTGTGACGGATGGTTGGTCACCATCGAATATTTAACTATGCTTAAATAAAAGTGCCTAGGCTATAAATCAGATTACGTGAATTAGTAGCTGGAAGAACTCTGCCCTGTATTATACAACCTAAGTACCAGATTGACACCTAAGAAATGGATATCCGGCGTCCACATTTCCCTATTTGTAGTAGAACATAAAACTGAATCAAATCGAAGGTCCCATGCATTGCAACGGGATGACAAAATAAACACATGGATATACTTTGATAAAAGAGAGAATCATGCATAATGTAGCATATACATTTTGCACACAACTTTATTGTAAACAAAACATACTCGTGGAAATTGCTAAGCTACTGGCTATGTCCTGAATATACTGAAATTGACTTCACTGGATTTATGACTTCAAGGTGGGCAGGATCTGCATGTTGATCCAGCACAGGAAAATTCATTACCCCTAATATTTGATAGAGACAAAGGCATCAACACATGATCATGGAAAAGCAAAATCCAGTTTTATCACCAAAAAGAAATGAAAAAACAAGTTATTGGTGCTTTCTTTCTCTGTAGTGCTGAACCACTGCTTGGATTGTGTGGATAATAGGGAACTTACATATAACAAGAACTCTTTATAATTTGGAAGTATACGATATAACATGGACAATAGTGTTCTCTCAAAATCTATAGCAATCAATGGAAAAAAGTAAAAGCTAATCTCCTAACACTACAATATTCTCAGGTATGTATTCTTCAAAATAGGGGTCATCTTACTTTGCCAGGTACAAAATTGACAAATACTCCCTCCGTTCCAAATTACTCGTCGCAGAAATGGATGTATCTAGAACTAAAATACATCTAGATACATCCATACCTGCGACAAGTAATTCGGAATAGAGGGAGTACAATGGTACTGCTAGTAGCCTATTAACGATTTTGAAGATGTGGCAACAAGACAAGTTGTGCCATTTGAAAATGAGTGTAACCATGGACAATTAGGTCAACATGTTCTAGTGGTAATAAAACCTGGGACACCTGAATTAGTACTACAATTATGTTAATGTCAAGTTCTTCAGTTTGTTCCTATAAAAACGCCCACTGTAACTATGTTTCAGTTCTTCATCACTCCTACTTTCATGAAAAAGGGAAAAGGAATAGGGCAGTATTAACGAAGGGGGATATCTTACTGGAGAAATAACGATGAATATCTTAGACTTCTCTCTGTAGTTCTGAACCACTACTTGTACACTGTGGATAATAGGTAACTTACATACAACAAGAATGCTTTATAATTTGGAAGTGTATGATATAACGTGGACAACAGTGTTCTTCCAAAATCTGTAGCAATCAATGGAAAGAAGTAAAAGCTAATCTCATACCACTACAATATCATCTATTATGTATTCTTAAGAATAGGGGTCATCTTACTATGGCAGGTACAAAATTGACAAAGACAATGGTACTGCTAGTAGCCTAGTATCGATTTTGGTGGAACTGGTTCTACTTTTTTTATAGCAGCCAAACCAATCCAGAAGACCGGCAACCACATGGGCAGGAAAATTCTGGTGCACATGCCCTGGTCCTAGTGTAACCCAACTGACAAACGTGAACATACATATCTGGCAGATTGCATTACCTGAAGCGCACATAGTCAGGGTTCTGGCCAGAGAGTTGCTCTGACATGTCGCTGAACACGTGATTGACGCCCCAACCGCGCAGACCTGGACCTGCGACGAACAGAGAAGCACGTGAGCAGCTGGAGGGTCAAGGAACCATGATGAGGCCAACAGAGGTCACAGACGCTAGATAGCGGTTAAGGACGATGATTGCGTAGACATCCACGGAGCAGGCGGGGTTGTGTGCCATAGCAGAAGATGAATTCTTTAACATTTCTCTTTACCTTTTAGAATCATCAAAGGCAATAATGTTGAAAGAATTAGCATAAATAAATTAGTGATACTAAAAACATGATGGGATGATTAGTTAAACCATTACCGCTCATTCTCACCTTACTGACTCATAACAATCAAGCTTAAAAACATGATCTGACCATGGACAAAGACAAAGACAAAATGACCAAAAAGTCTATAAATAGAACTGCAGCAACATGATTGTGTACCAACAAAAATTACATGGCAGTGTGACGGTAATGTGCATTCAACCCAGGGTTTTTTATAGGCCACTTGCAATTGGAAAAGGATTCATATTAGCACCTGATCGGCACCAATGCAACCGATGCGGGGACAATCTTGGACTCTTCGACGACAACGACAAAGTGGCCGACGGCGCCCTTGGACCTTGGTCATCTTCTTGTGGAAAAGAAAGCCGCTCCTGCTCGCGGCCCTTGACGGGGTTGAGCTCCGAGTCGTCTACGCCAACGCTGTCGTTCTGCTCTCATAATTTGAAAAAAGAGGTAATGTACCGCACCACCAGGCAAGTAGTCAGAATCAACTTTCACTTTTCATATGGTTAGATATAGTGGACTAAATTAATTAGGCAGCGTTTGTGTACACATTAGTAACAAAATCAGTAATCAATAAGGCATAGTTAGGCAAATCGACACACTGAAAAAACATTGTTAATGCAGTGTGAAATAAAAGAGGGATGGAACATAGTACCTATTCATCGTATGGTAAGAGAAGATGTGGCAGCAAAACAAGTTCTGCCATTTGAAGATGAGTGTAACCATGGACAATCAGGTCAACATGTTCTGATGGAAGCAATATATGAAAGGAACTGATAGTAAATGGATGGAGCAACATGAATCTAACCAACAAATCCTAGCTAATGTTTCAATTTTTTCTAGTAAGACCGCAGATTCTCCTTTCACATTTATTTCAAGGGTGTGTTCATAGTTATTTGGCTTTATATAGTTTTCAAATTACAAATCTCATAAATGTTCACACACTTGTTTGGTCAACCTCAGTGCTCGATGGTGCCGGGGAGCCAATGAGTTCCTCTCTATGTGGCTATTTTTTAAAGTAAAAGATAGAACGCAACCTGAATTCTAACGAAGTCATATAATGTGTGAAAAGTCTGATGGAACAAACCCAAGCTGATGACATACAACGTCAAAGCTAGAATAGTTAGTGAATCAATCAAGACCCCCCCCCCCCACGTACACGACCAAAATAATAATAAAATTTACCTCTACAAAGGGCACCCAGTAGAGGGCAGGCCTAGCGCAATGGTGAAGTCCTCCCCACTTGTGCCAAGAGGTCCTGGGTTCGAACCAGCCTCTCTGCATTGCACTTTGTAGGGGTAAGACTAGGTTCCTATAATCCCTCCCCAGACCCCACCTTGTGTGGGAGCTTCTATGCACTGGGTCTGTCCTTTAAAGGGCACCCAGTAGTAAATCAGAGCGCCGGCACAATTTTAGTCATAGGAGCAACTTATCTCTCCAACAATCTATAAATGAACGGTTAGTGCTCACCAAGATGAATCTCTGTTTTCTTCAATGCACATTATATATTCTGTAGATGAATCTTCTTCTTCAGAACTCCTTTGTCCCGATCTCTGTACGAAATGAATGTATGAATGTACATTGTAAAGTGTAAATATAAATGCTGATGCATAGTCCAATAGTTAATATGCGTGTACATACATGTATATATCCACACCAAAATAAAAGGGAAATAGTTCTGATATGGTACAGAACATAGCACCAAATGCCAATGAATTTGAAATAGTAGTTCTGATGCTCGATGACAGAAATGTAGGGAAATCTAATATTTTTTAATGGTCCAGCGTGAGATATACATCTTATGTTTCGATGTTAGCTCAGAAACTGTTGGTTACAAAAATCTCATCATCCCCAACACATCAACGAGTATATACTATTGCACAATACTGGTTTGTAGATGTTCTCATACCTTCAGAAGGGCCTTTCCAGTTCCATCATGAAACCTGCATCAGTGTTTCATGTTCCAGTTTCATGTTAAGCAAAGTATCCAACACTGCAAGTATGAGAATCAGTATCGAGGAGAAGCTACACACTATTGGCTAAACGCAAGGATTGTTTTTCAAGTGTGCGACAATGTAGGGAAAAAAACAGTATCAAGGAGAACCTACACACCTTGCTTCCTCGACTTAGCAATTAGTATTGCATATATATCTTATCTCCAAATAAAATTAAAATATGCATGCATATCTTGTTTATCATGTCGGCATATGCATCAGCAAAGCTAGCTGCCCCTGCAAGTGTACATATGATTAGTCTAGGGTAGTTCATACAGAATAATTATATGATGTGTCTTGAACTGTGAGGCTGCTCTTATCACCAATTAACATTAAAAAGTGGATGAACCAGCTATAAATTTGAACATGGGATCTTATGTTGAACATGATATCCAGTTTGTAATTTAGAAGTGAGTGATGTAGTCCATAATCAACCAATAGAAAAGAAGCGCATAACCAAGCAATGGTTGTCTATAAACAGTACATGATAAGGAAATTAGCTGTTGCATAATAATACGTATTTTTTGTCTCTTCAGTGTTACTTGGTTATTACATCTCAATAAGCTGTCTCTAATGCCTCCTGTTCGCATGATATATGCACGCACCAAAATTAGAAAACAACATGTGTCGTTGTTGCTTGATCCAGCAAACACCACACACATGCATGCACACGCAACAAGCATCCATCGGCAGCCAGCAAGCAGCAAGCAGCACGCACACAAACACGCTGAGTTCATACAAGCATCAATCGGCGGAGAACACGCACGCACACAAGCTAAACTAGAAAGCCACACACAGAGCATGCCCATCCCATCACTAACGCAGAGCACACACGCACACAGCGCAACACATACACAAAGGTCAGATTTGGCGGAGAGGGAAAGGGAGCCATAGCATGAACGGGCGGATCCTATAGGCGGTACGTGGCGAAACCTTGAAGTGATTGGCGGCGGATCCTGTAGGCGGTACGCGGCGGATCCTGGAAGTGATCCGCGGCGGATCCTGAAAGTGATCGGCGGCGGATCCGGGAAGGGATCATCGTGCGACTCCACAAGTAGATCGTCGCCGGTTCGTGAAGCAAAGCGGTGGCGGCTTTGAACTGGGAGGGCACCGGCGAAGGGATGCAGCGGCGGGGGCGAAGTGCAGATGCCGTCGTGGATCTGGGCGCTCCCTCTCCCTTCCCTTACCTTCCCTTGCCTTGCCTTCCCTTCCCTTCCCTAGGGATTCCCTTGGGAGAGGAATAGAAGGTTGGGGGCGGCGGCGCAGGGGGGCGAGGAGATCGCTGGCGGCGGGGTTGGATTGGGGTGCGGCGGCGGCTGCGACTGGAGACGGGAGACGAGGCCAGGCTAGCGAGGGATTGATTCTCTCGCGACGGTAAAACCAGCGGAGCAGAGGTGGTGGACGGAACAAAAAAACCTACGAAAAAAACCGGATGAAAGAAATGGGACAAAAATAAATCCGAAACAGAGGCTACCAACTAAGATATTACGAGTAGAGATTGGTGTAATATCTATTGTATTCTAACTTTTCCATGGTTCATACCCCCGATACTAACCATAGATTCGTCAAAATAAGCAAACAACACATAAAAAATAGAATCTGTCAAAAACAGAATAGTCTGTAGCAATCTGGACATTTTGAAAACTTCTGTAACTTCAAAAATTCTGAAAATTTATGAAAACCTCATAAATTTGTTTATTAATCTTCTGCAGAACGAATCAGTATTTTATTGCGTTTTTGCTAAAAACTAAAATTAATTTTCTGGGTGCAAAAGTTTCTGTTTTTCAGAAAGATCAAATTAACTATCACCGTAAACTATCCCAAAGGTCTTACTTAGCACAAACACTAATTAAAGCACAAAACCACATCTAACCAGAGGCTATATGAATTATTTATTACAAAATATAACCTAAAAATAAAAAATAAAAAATAAAATTGGTGCCTCCAACAAGCGCTATTGTTTAACGCCGCTAGCTAGGCATAAAACACGAATAAATCTAAGTATTATCGTCTTCGGTGTGCAATCAGCAAGTGGCTCTCATAATAGATTCATAAGAAAATTTAATTTTGTTTCTTGGAAAGTGTTTCATGTCTTTCCTTAACGGAAATTGAAATCTAATGTTTCCTTCTTTCATATCAATAATTGCACCAATCGTTCTAAGAAAAAGTCTATCAAGAATAATAGGACATGTAGGATTGCAATCTATATCAACAACAATGAAATCTACGGACACATAATTCCTATTTGCAACAATAAAAACATCATTAATCCTTCCCATAGATTTCTTAATAGTGGAATCTGCAATATGCAAATTTAAAGAACAATTATCAAATTCACGGAAACCTAGCACATCACATAAAGTTTTTGGATTCGTGCAAACACTAGCACCCAAATCACACAAAAGCATGACACTCATAATCTTTAATCTTAATCTTAATAGTAGGTTCCCACTCATCATAAAGTTTTCTAGGGATAGAAACTTCCAATTCAAGCTTTTATTCAAAAGATTGCATCATAACATCAACGATATATTTAGTAAAAGCTTTGTTTTGATTATAGACATGAGGAGAATTCAACATGGATTGCAACAAGGAAATACAATCTATTAAAGAACAATTATCATAATTAAATTCCTTGAAATCCAAAAGAGTGGGTTCATTGCTACCTAAAGTTTTGACCTCTCCAATCCCACTTATCAATTTTTGATCAAGGTCTAAAAACTCCGAATCATTGGGACGCCTTTTAACTAAAGTTGACTCATCTCCAGTCCCATCTTATCAAGATTTATATTGGAAAACAAAGTTTCAATAGGAGCTACATCAACCACTTTAAGATCTTCATCATTATTTTCACGGGAACTAGAAGAACATGTTCTTACAAACCAATCCTTTTTAGCACGCATCTTAGC